TCCGTCGACTCCAAGCTCATAGAGGCAGACCCTTGATCCTGACTGGTGGTATCGAGTACGGCTGGAGATGGAGAGACTGGAAGCGGCTCGTCCGTCTTGGTTGCACTCTCTCGCTGCAAAGCCGTGCTCCGAGGGGGAATGGCCGGTAGCTGAACGACTGGACGGGGAAGAGGCTTGGAAGGTTCCGCCAGTTGGGGCTTCGAATGCGGCTGCGTCTCCTGAATAGTAGACCTAACCGTGGTTTCCATTGGTTTTGAAGACTTTTGACTGGCCTCAGATCTACCAACATCGCGAGATATTTGGGAGGCAGGAGTAGGGGCAGCCGGCGTAGTTCTAGCGCTAACCAGACTGCGAGCGGCAGCAAGGAAACTCTGTGGCTGACTGAGCATGCTACTATAGTCAACCCTGTATCCAAATGTAAGGTTTGATTTGATATCTTTTAGGGGATAGTAATTGCAACATACTGTGACACGGGTCTTCTCGGTCTGGTCAAGGAAGACGTAGGCCTTCTCACAGCTAGAAGGATCGTATTAGACGCCATGTATCTCACTAATGCGAATATAAGTAGCTTACAAGATCGTCTGTTTTGTCCTCTCATGGCTTCTACCTTCCTTGAAGCGTTTCCTTCACGAGCCGTGCGGTAGAAGTCATTGTCGTCAAGAGCTGCATCTCTATGGGACCGCTTCTGAGGCTGAGCAGCATGGCCTCTGGGTGCAAAGTTGGACGGCCTGCATATTCCTTATATATCAGCCAGAAATCTGTAATAGGTGAAGAGAAAAGTTTGATACTCACGGTAAAGAGCTCTGCCTTGTTCCGCGTCCTCGGGTGCCTATCACGCCGCCGCCACGACCGACCGGATGCAATGACCTGATAGCCGGAGCAGAACCAGAGCGCCTTTGATCCCCTATGTAATTTTGCCCTCCACTCCCCCGAATCATGGCGCTCAGCTGAAGTCGATGACTTTGTCCATCCAGAAGGCTGTCGAGGTTTTCCAGGTCTTCGGTATCACCTATTGTCTTGTGGACATCTTGAGTACAGAAGTTCAGCAAGATGAAGCAGGCACAATATTTAGGAGGTTCTCCTTTCCAATGACTTACTTGCCCAATCCTCAAGTCTCCCCTGGTTTGCGGTGGCCATGCGTTGAGCAGCTGAACCGGGAACGTTTGTCATCCGTATTGCCTCTATGTCTTCCAACCTAGCCTTCTTATGTCGCCTGTCATCTGCAGTTGAGATGTACTCCCGTCGTGCGGTTCCGAGGTCTTCCTATAGGGGTGGAAGTCTGGATTAGCCATTGACTTTACTTCAAAAAGCGTGTATAATAGAAATAAACTTCCTGGTTCTTTGCACAACGTACCATTTGAAGCCTCTTGAGGCGATCTGAAGTATTGGAGTCCATCTTCTCGAAGAGATGATGCTGCGATTGCAGAAGCAAATCGATGTTCAGATGTCTGTCAAAAAATGAGTTGGGACGGAAAGATCCATGAGTTCACTCAGGGAGAGCTGGACGCGTTTTTTAAACGCGTTAGCCTTACCAGAGAGTGAAGTAGACCGGGGGGAAATTCTGTTGCCCAGGCATCACTAGCAATTTCAAGTGAATGACATTTCAAGGTCGCAGAGGTAGTCAAGAAGGCGAGGGTGAGGATAAAGTACGAAAATGTCTTTGTCAGGGAGAAATAGTAGAGAATGTCGCCACTAAGCCAGTCAGAACAGCATGGATACTTTGAGAAGTTGAACCTCGAATGGGAAGCACAATGTGGGGGGTAAAGCAAGACAGTAGGTATTACAATCGAGTTTGGGTGCGATGATCGAAATGTTTGGCTCTAAGGGGACAGGTGTAAAGATTGTGAAGACAGAGCAAGTATGCTGACGACTGGTGCTGTGGGTAGATATTTCAGAATCAGATGGATGGAAAGGAAGATACGAGAAACACATAAAGCCTAAGTGAAACAATTGCGTGTTGTGGGTAAGTACCTGCTGTACTAGGATGACTGCAAACGCAGCTTTACAGCCACCCAAAGTTAAGCATGGGTTGATTGGACAGGTTTGACAGCTTTGAGCAAGTTTCAAATCGGAGCAATCGATGAGTACTAGTCTTTGTATGCCAAGTGAAATCGGTAGCCACCACACTACACTCCCTATTCCGTCCTAAGTGTTGCCTTCTGAGGCGTCGCGGCTGGTATAGCACAGCTATCACCGTCATGTCAATGTAGAAACATAGTTCGGTACCAGGAATTTATACGGAAGAGGCAAAAATGGATATAGAAACGTGATGGCGCACGACAGTATGTACATTTATATCGAGGCAGCCAGAAAGAAATGAAGTCTATCAGATGGGAAGTGAGCCTAAATATGCTCGGAGGCCGAATAGAATTTTTTTTACGCTAAGCACTGCATGTGCTCGCGCCGCCTTCATCTATGGCAGCAAGTAAAAAATGTTAGCAAAGCCAGTCCGGAGGCCATAAGGTGAATAGGGTCTTGGACTTACTACTTATCATCTTCATCACGGCCTGCAACAGGCTGACTCCCATAACAGTTATGCCAAACACAATGCACACATATGAGGGGATCTTGGCTTTGTGCGACGCATTGCTCAGCTTGATATAGCAAAGAGGCGGGAAGATATAGGCCAGTGCAGCAGCGCTGGTCGCGCCAATCAGTTCGAACACTGCACCTAGGTCGCACGTTATCAAAGCCATAGCCATAGCAGACACGACCAATGCCGATGTGAATATCAGGTGTCGGTTCATGTTGAAAGGCTCGTCAGGGAAGTAGTAAGTTGTCATCACCGACCGACATACAAATGCTTCGAGCGGCAAGGTAGTGAGCATGTTTAGGCCAAAGCATCTTCTTCAGGTCAGCTTGTTGAATGTCCGTGAAATATAGGCCGCGATCTTACAGTCGTGCGATATTGACCAGAATATTGTCGGATGGAAAATTGTTCAAGACGTTTCCTTGAGTCTGTGATCCAAAGAAAAGGAAACCGAAAATGCCCATAGCTAGACACATCAAGAGTGATACACCAGTCGAATAGTGGGTTACCCTTGCAAATCGGTCCATGGTCGGTTTCTTCAATGAACCGTAGATCAGAAGGCTATTGTGATCTTTGCATCTGTTAGTCTCGGGCCATGTTAAGGGACAATGCTACATACGGCATACGAATGCTGCAAACAGTCAGTACGGTTTTTGATCGCTTAGTCTACCAATGACCTGAACATACCGAATGATATCACCCCAACAGCCTGGAAGAAGCCATCATTAACCAGGAGCAGGCTCTTCACTTCCCCGCGTGACTCTGGAGGTACGCGGAACCCCTGCGTGATCACAGCTACCACAATGACTATCATACTGATCAACGCGAAGGTAGACGCTTTTCCCAACTACAATGAACTGTCAGCACCGTATACTTCAGCTTTGTGGATTACTGATACTGTACCTTAGCAATGTCGCGGTACAGAGACAGGGGATACGAAATTCCGAGAACAAGAAGAACAATGATAGCGCGTCTGTCGGTCAAAAGCCAAAGGAACGACATATCACGAAGGGAAGGAAATAAAGCACTCAAGACATGCGGTATGGTATCTCCAACGATAATACAGAACGCAATCATGCCGCCAAACGCAAATGCCCACTGCGCAACCGATATGGCGATAAGTCCACTCTTGCCAAAACAATGCTGCATTGTCGCCTGGAAAGAGTCCGCACCGCTCAACTTCGAATTGACCACTATCAGGCGTATTGTCCAATCAACAGCAATAGTGAGGACAATCAGGAGTGTAATTCCCATGAACATGCCAGCCTGTCGGAGGGCATAAGGCTGTCCTATTATACCAGCTCCTATTATGCTATTGGCCATGTTCATAAAGGCCATGCGCATCCCACTCCTCGGCCTCGCACTTTCTAGGTGTTCTTCGGGAAAGAATTCATCGGAGGTAGCCAGGGTCACGCTCGGGGCCTCGATGTCTGTCAGCAGAGGGACCATTTGCCTGGCTGACCGGTTGCGGTCTGCACGGCCATAGTCCTCTTCCTCCAGCCATGAGTCTCCGGAGTCGCGACGACCATTGGGGTGGTCCTCATCCTCGGTCTCGTCATCCAGGTCAAAGCGAACTCGGTTCATTGTTCGAGGAGTGCGGCGCTGTCCTTCTGGTACCGGCTGTGATATGGAAGACTGGTGCGGCTGTCCGCGGGGAGTCGAGCTAGTCGGGACCGCATGGTTCACAAGCTCGAAGTCTTGTGTCGGCGACTCGGAGAGGAGTGACTGCGATTCCGGCCCATCAGGGCCTTTCTGGTCAGCCAAGAGAGCGCGCTGTCCTTCATCACTGGGCATCGCTGAATTGTTGAAGCTCCTGAAACTAGGAATCCCTGATGCGGAGGATGCTTTAGGGGCCAGGTAATCAATCCCCATGCACGTGATGTCTTATCGATTAGCCGGCTAAAAATAAACGTCAATAGATCAGTCAATAACACCCAAATCCTTTACTGCTTTGGGCAGCGATCATACCAACTTACAAACAATTGTAACGTTTGAAATTATAATGCTTATGTCTCCGTGTTGTACTAGCTACTCAATTCGTTGAAGCTGCATTGGCGATGCACGACTCCCTTTTTCCTTTTGGGAGTAGTATATTCGCGATAAGCTTCATGCGCTTCCGATCCCGCGCGCTTGTGACACAAGATCTGTGGAGAACTTATAAGTCTTCATGTTCGAGAGTACCTAGTTCCTATTTACTACGGAGTTCTTGGTCTATGTTGATCTCTCCATTCTGTCATAGTGCTGACATGCTTCATTCATGCGACCATACACTCCACATAGTGAAGCTGAGCAGAGCTAGAAATGCAGGGAATTGAGATCGGCGATGTCTATCCCGCTTAGTTCTCCACAGTCATAGATCCCGCCTCTCCTTTCCTATTTCGTCTACTACAACCACTTCCCCCAGTTGACCGGGGGCCTACTTCACAGAAGAAAATGTTCATGCTGACTGCTCATTATATAAAGCCACGGGATGGTTTTGACACTTGATCTTGGAGAAGATCGACTTAGTTCCCTTGATTCAACTATCGATCTCAATATTCATGCTTCAACTCAAGTACTAATTCCCGACGACACTGGCTTAACGGATGCAGCCTGTATCGGGAGGCTGCTCAAATCGCAAGATCTATGGGTGTTCCAAACTCCCGAGCTCAAGCTCTGCATTTCGATTTATATCAGTGCGTCGATAGCCCTTTCGGTCTCGGCTTTCGCTTCATCGGTCGGAGAGATGATGTGTAGTTCCAAGGTATTCTCATGGTCAGCTTCAGAGTAAATTCGTCTTGTGAAAAGAGCTAACGAATGGCTTGCTTATCAAGCTCTGGTCAGACCTTGGCCTTATTGCGCTATTTAAGAGCTATAGTCACCTCCACTACGACAATGTCACCTCCTTCAAGCTCATCATCGGCATTCAAAAGGACTTGAGACAGTCGAAGACGAGACCTACACGGAAAACAACGTTATTCGATTATCTTGACAATATTCATCCTCCAGACTACATCAAGACTGTTTATCTATCTACAGTCAATGCATCTATGTCTTTCACTACCAGAGACGAAACCGCACAGCTATATATACTGGATACTACAGACTCTTTGACAGAACCGGATTCGGTAGGAGACTATTGCTACATGAACTATATACTGAAGAGCACGCAAGATGGTGTTTTACTAAACCCCCAACCAGATTTGTATACGATTGATTTTGATAGCACTCACGCTACATCCTTCATCGATGAGCTAGAAGGGTTGCTTGAGAGCGAACAGAGCCCTCACACTCCCACAGAATCCTTCGAAGCTATTCCCCCGAAGGAACAGCGTGAACAGCTGTACAATCTTTTTTCAGTCGGCCTCGAATCGCTTCTATTTGGACGCACTGCATCAATCAATCAGAGTGTTCTCCATAGCAAGAAGCTACAACCTCTTTCACAGCTCGCACCCTCGGTCTTTAACCCGAACTACCACAGGGTAAGGCACATCACTACCACAACGAGAACGAATAACTCACCCCTCCACCAGGAAATCGGTCAACGATCAGCCCTAATCCCCTCCATCACGAAATCACTTTCTTCCATACTCAAGCTCACCAACCACCAATCCCTTCAATCCAAACTAGGCAAGCTAAACAATAGAGACACGCTTCACCCCACTACAGCGAACACAGACACAAACAATATTGAAAACACTATAAGTGCATCCCTCTTCCGCATCGCCCAGAAACAGCTCTACAAGCCACAAGCATCCCGAAAACTGCGTTTTCAGGCCCCATCACCCAACCCTCAATGCAAAGACCAGCCGTCGCCAGTCGAAGAAAGAATGTATGGAGAACCAGATTATTCTTCCGATGAAGAAGAAGAACTCCTTGGCTACAGTGAGCCCGATGAGAGTAGTAGCTGCGCGATGCTATCGACGACTACGGCTGCTGCACCTTCTTCATCATGCGGGTCACTGCCATTCTCACAGGATGATTACGACGATGACGATGATGACATTATGTCTAATCGATCTGATGAAGATGATATAATTCACACGCTGGTTTCAGATGATATGGTAGAGCTTGAAGGATTAGAAGATGGCTACGGTGACGACGATATGCTCTGCAGTAGTTTTTGAGCATTATGGTATCTCAATGTTGTCAAGATACTACTATCTTTGTCGGAGAAGGCATGTTACTAGTATATACGGTAGGTACTATATCTGCGTATTACTATCATATGGTTTAGACGAGTTATAACGATCCTGATCTATAGCTATGTCCAAGGAAACCTGAGCTTCTCCTAACTTATCCAGTTATTATTAGTACTTCGGACTATTATACGTTCCCAAACCTAGTGGGTATATAAGTTTATGAAGGTATAATCTCTTCTTCCTCGAGTTTAGTAGGACGATTGTCTAAAATACACTTTAGCCATAAAAAAATGGCATCTTGTCTTCCCGTGTCTTTCTCTTGACACGCACGCCCTATTGAAGACGGAAAATCACCAATCTACTCCCACAATAAATAGTACACTAGTGACGGAGTGACAACAAGTACCAGGAACCAGTCTATCTTAAGACATTTGGGGGGGTATAAAATAAGCGAGTATAGCAAAAATGGAAGTCCCTCCGACACAGCATTGAGTCTTCTTTAACACGATCCAGTCGTCGACAAGTATTTTATGCTTTTTAGTTCAGGAAAGAAATAATCAGGGGATAGTATTCGGAGAATGGGAAGATTTGGGGTTCTGAAACGATCATTCCTACTGTCTCTTGATAAGGGACAGGTGGCGGATCTCTCGGAGTGTATCGGATTGTCAGGACGGAGGTCGTTTGACCTATGGAAAATCGGAGGCTGGAGGTTTGATCAAATAGTTGATCTGAGTCATAGAACCGCACGGACCTCTTTAAAGGGATGGAGGAACGTGGCAGTTGGGGGATTCCTTGTCTCTATCATGTTCTTCCGGTGGCATCTTGAAGAGCCCAGATGACTGCCACGTCTTGACACCGGAAGACTGAGCAAGTTGATGAAGTTGAGATGGGTCAAATCGGTCTATGTAGTTTTCATCGAGTAATCTCGGTTTTGGAAAGGCATATCGAAGGTATTCTTCAATGACGTCGCATGAATCCCAGCCTTGAAGTTTGCGAAAACAGGCAACCACGCATCCGGTACGATGCTATAAAGAATATTAGTTACGCATCAAAATCAAAAAGAAGACAAGTGCTTACCTTTCCCTTGTTGCAATGGACGAGAACAGGATGGTTGCTCTTATCGAGCAGAAGCTCAAGGATTCGACACATGACAGAGTCAGGTATCTTAACATTAGGGTCCTTGTTTGCCTGAACCAAAATGCGATGATGTGCAATGCCGTTCTCCTTGATAAACATCACATGGCTTTGGGGGTATGGTTCATCAACCAGTGTTCTAAGGTCTTGTTAGTTAACTGTCATGGATGCGCAAGCTCGCAGAGACACGTACATTATGGTCTTCAGTCCCAGCTTCTTGAGTGCTGTAAGATTCCAGGGGTAGGGAAAGGAAGAGCGATATATCCCTTTCACGACCTCTCCAAAATTAGCTGGTAGCTCTGACTGTACAGACTCAGACTCCACAGAGGAGGCTTTATGACGAGCTATATCTAGAACGTTGGTTAGCTACTGTAAGCAACTGACGATAATAGAGAAATCAGGAAAGCCCAATATGTTCACTGTCAGCGAACTAATCACTCACCAATGGTACTCTTAAGAGAGCTGTTCGAATTCTTCTCGGTCAACGGACAGGCCATACTGGTATCCTGGTGATCCGGACACCCAGCGGCTGTATGACTCAACACCTCCGTAGAGAAGTAGCAAGACTCAGAGGTCTCACCACTTCGAATTTAAGAGAAAGGGGGGAGTAGGGGGGGGGGGGGGGGGGGTGCTATGAAGACCACCAGGAGCAAGAAGAACCAGCCTCAAGCTCAATAACCGGAAACTGCCTTGAGAAGAAAGGGATTATGCGCAAAAGGAAAAGCTTGTGAGACACGAGTAAGGCTGACTCGCAAGCCTCAAACGGAAAAGATCCGACAAGGAGACATAATGACGATGGTAGAAGATCCGTCTTTTTGCGATGATGAAATGGATTGAAGGGATCTTCAGTAGCCAACGCACAACCTAGGGCGGAATAAGAGATGAGGTCTGAGTAGTATGGAGCTGGGACAAGTATGGGCGGTGAGCTGATGTAAAAGAAGGTCAATAGAAAGCGAGCTAGCTTCTGCCGTCAGACCTCACGCGAGCACAATGCTTAAGCAGGAACAGACACGTGCGGCGCAGCTCTCGGTGCAGCTCTCAAGTGAAGCAAGAAGGAACCCCTGCGAGCGTCTCGTGGCAGAGTAAAGCCAGATAGCTACTCACGTTGGTTACTTCCTGGAAGCACCTACCAGAAAGGCTGACGACAGTTTTGCTTCTCGTTCTTCATGACAGAATAAACAGAGGGGAGTGGGAGAATGCAGTATAGAATTTGCGTTTCAGCAGCAGCAGCAGTTGACAAGGAGCAGAGTCTAGCCGTTGTGAGGAACCATGGTTGGGGCCGACTGACTCAGCGTCTAGAAACGGATCGGTGGTCGGGCGCGACTTCGAAAAAAGGCACCAACATAACATCATTAAAGGGTTATTTTTTCCATCATCATTATCTATCTATAATAATTAATCAAAAGACAAGTGAATTTTTCTTCAGCGGGTAGCCGGAATTCATGGAGGGGCTATGCGAGGTTAGTGAAAGCTTTGTAACAGAGGGCCTAATAATATATTCTAGATGCAGCATCATAATCATGCATCTTCCCCAAGCCCAAACATTTTGATCGAGTTATTCCAAGCACTAGAAGGAAAATAATTAGCGACATATTCAGGCTATTTCCGATGGTATGAGGAAATACTCACGCTTCGCAGACCTCTTCCACAGTTATCCCCTTGATCTGGGCGATGACGTAGGCGACATGGGCTATCGCGGCAGGCTCATTGCGACCCTTGACCATGAGACCCTTCTGCCACTTTTCCTTCTTAACAGCCTTTGGCAATTCCGGCGCGCCCTTGAGGTATTTAGACGAGGCATGGGAAGGACGAATTTCGCACTAGAGGTCAAAGTCAGTAAAAACACGAATCAAATGACATGAAAGTGAGGCATACCCAAGGGCCATCTGTTTCAATCTGGAGTCTCTCTAGCGGAATAGCCTTCACCACCTCGAGATTCTCCTCTGTCTTCAGACTGCAACCGTTCACGCCGATATCAAGCCCAAGGGCCACCATGCGCTCCATCTCTTCCAGAGTCCCTGTAAAACTATGCACAAGTCCTCTCTTCGGGAGCTTGGCCAGTCGCGGCCCCAACAATTTCTCGAAATCCTCACTAGCAGCGCGAGAATGAAGGAAAAGAGGGAGTTGAATTTCCACAGCAAGATCCAACTGGGCTTCAAAGTACTTCAGCTGAGGTTCTTTCGCACTCAAAAACAAGCGATCATAATCCAGGCCAATTTCACCGAAGGCGACAGCCTGTCCATTCTCCTTCGACTGCAATGCGAGAGTCCGGAGCTCCTCGAGCATTTTGGAAGGTCCACCGGGGTACTCATCGAACATCTTTGCCTGGCAAGGGTGAACACCAACAGTTGCATAGCAGAATCCAGCTGCAAGGGAGGTAAAGTCAGATGAAATCACTGCTGCTTGAGGGGGGCGATAACAAACGTACGGTAGTCATGTGCAAGTTGAAGTGCGCGCCGAGACTCCTCCAGGTCGGAGCCAGTCACCATGAATTTCTGGCACCCGATGTCCTTTGCACGTTGTACAATGTCGTCCAGGTCACTGTCGTGAACCTGTTTGCCATGGTAACTACCCGAGAATACGGGATCACTCAGGTTGATTCCAATCTAGAGTCTCTGCATTAGCTACTATGACAACGAACAGCGAGGGTTTCACGGGGCAGTGAATGTCTACCTACATCAACATATCTGATAGGTTTACTAGTAGTAGTGGCAGCAGCAGGAACAGCCTCAGAATCACCCATCTTGACTGCACTCTTAGCCAGGTATCCCTGACTATAATGAAGCGAAGTAGTAGTAGAAAAGCTTCTTTTGCCTAATATAGAACAAGAAGAATAAGAAGCACGCTGACGATGCAACGCCACCCCAGCAAATCTAGTAATAGTACCAGTACTAATACCAGAATCCAAAGACACTAAATTTTCAAGAAAAAGAAAAGCAAATGAGTCAGTCACAACCATTCTTACCCCACTAGTACCCTCCACAAGTCACGAGTATAAGAAGCAGGAGAGGAACACCCCGCCCCCCACAGAACCTATATAGCCTGGGATCTCCGCAACATACCTAGTAGTAGTGATCTAAAACAACAACCCCTCAGATTATTACTCTTGATAGTAGTAGCAGTAGTACCAAACTGTCTCACGAGATACCCTACACCAGTAGTAGCCCGTTGCATCAGTATGCGTTTTAGTTGGGAGAAAATAGAGAAAAATGTTCCCTCCTAGATGGAAACACACACAGCCTTACAAGGGCGAGTGAGGGGGGAAAGGGGCAAGAAGAGCAGAAAGCGGGACAGAATGGATAAAATAGAATAATAGTAAGCTAGATAGGTAAAGGTACCAATGCCTGACTGACTCACAAGAATGCGGTTGCGGTGCCTGAAATTCTGGGGATGATTATGGCTTGGGAAACAGCCACAGTCATCGATCACAATCGAATTTGTGTGGCTGTGGCTGTGGCTATGAGTTGAATTGATTATGTCAAGGTGTATTATTCAGATTAGTTATGTATGGCCGGCCCACCGCCGGAGAAGGGTCTGGTTTCCCCGGCGGAGTATTTAGATAGGCAGATAGGAGATAAGGAAGTACCCCAAGCTTTTAGTACCTAGGTTAGTTTGGATGCTGGACCCGTCGTATGTGCTTGTTGGTGCGTCGTGCGATGAAGATTATGTTTGTGACTCGTGGCTTACATGTCGGTAGGAAGTTGCATGCTTTTTGTTCTGTGAAGTTTATTTGGGCCATGTGGTTGATGAATTTTACGACTGTGTAGCCTTGCGGTATACAACTGTATAGGTTAGGCACGTTTCTGCCGTACGTTAGGCTTGAACGCCCTGAAGGTGCGTTCCAAGTTAAAGATAGAAAGTATGTGGATGAATTGGCAATATGAAAGGTGCTATCTGCTGAATGGTACTATACCAAGTGACGCCTGTGTTTCTTCCAAGGTGATGATATGTCGAGGTATCTCGTAGTCCGAGTATACACGTAGAATCATTATTCTCCGAAATACATAAGAATAAATCATCAAACGGTCACTACTCGCCGGAACAGGCTTCCTGTGGCATGCGCAAGGTAAGATAGTCAGAGACAGTCGACTAGTCGCATGGTTCATGGTTCATGCTTCATTGATAGCACTCGTCGTATCAGTCCCTGGATATGGAGGGGCATGCTAGTTAGCAACCAGAATGTCACATCGATCGGTATCCAACCATGAGTTCATAGATAGTCAGCGCTACTTGAGAGATATGAACTTCGGATACGTGGAAGTGGCCGGACGACACTTGCGTGGATCCAGACAATGGCGTGCTTTTTCAGCTATCAAGAAGAGTAAAGGCAAAGAGCTGCCATTTACCTATCGGGTCCAAGCTATGCTATGTATGCAAGGGATGTATATACCGTTAGACGAATAAGGTAGGTAAGCAACTGAAAATGTGTATGCCTAGGCAGGGAGGGTCGTAGGATCCGCAAGGTAAATACCGCGTTGGGGACCCTGATAAAGACGATGGAGACGATTCACATGCTTGGAGGGGTTATCAATGCAAATGCATATGAAAACAGACTAATGCGGGGCTGGCTGAAGCCTTGATTTCTTGGAATCCCTGCCATACTTAGATCAAAGCTCCAAGACGCGACAGCCAAGTCGTAGTGGAGAGGTCATATTTTTCAGTTGATTATTGTACCTGCACGTTCTAACTCCGATGACTACATGACTTAACTGGGTCGATGCAATTAGCAAACGGGCAAGGGCTGATAAGCACTTATTAACGTGTATCTAGTCAGGTTTGAAATGTGCTTCTCCGGAAGCCAAAGAAGGAAAGGCCATAGAAGGATCTCATCAGTTGATGCATGAAGTACGACATTCAGACAGACAAGAAAATAGAATGGAAGATGGAGGGAACCGCCGGAATCCTGCGGAGGATACGGGAGTCACCGAAACAATTCCCAGAATATTACTTTTGATGCAAGCACCAACAAGTCATGGTGGCTGAGTTTGCGTTTGTTGAGGGCGCAGGATCAGGGGCTGAAATGAGATGGGGAAGAGTAACCCCGTAGAGGATGTAGACTACGGCGTATATCAGAGTATCTCGTCGCGGAAGTGCTGGAGGAGGTGAAAGGGGACTCCGTAGAGTATGGGGACTACAGCGTAAATCAGAGTACCTTAATTTTAGTCGGGGGAAGGATCCACGGGGAAGCTGCCGGGCAAGCCAGATCGACCTCACGTGCCCCATCCCGTCCGTCTCCACTTCACCGCTCCTCAACTGTTGAGGGGAGTAGGCACTCCCCGAGCCAGTCATCTCCAGCCTTGAGCGTCGCATCATGCTACACAGTACAACTCTGTCAAGTAAGCATCCATCGTCCCATCCATCCTGCCAATCATTGTTTCCACTTAGAATCACCCGATTCAAGATCGACCTACCTGGCAGGTTGGATGAGGGACGGTTGTTGGGTCTGTACACGCATCCATCTCGGTAAGAGGCATAGTAAAGTACGGTATTGGCTGGTTTAATCCCGTTGGCGCTAGTAAGCTTCTCGAATGTCGTTGGTTGTTTCTTCATTGCGTCACGGCCGCCGAGCTCCAGCAGGTTGTGACGGACGGAGATAGAAGGTGTCGCCGCAGATGGATGGACTACTGCTTTAGGAAACCACGTACAGGGCAACAGCTTACGTTTTGAGTTGTTGTTCCTGTCATGACACTCCTGCACAGGATTAGATTTCGAGTATCTTGTTGATGAGGATAAAAGTGAAAGACTATCTTCAGGTCTAAAAGTGGGAAACTCAGTCCGGATGGTGGAACAAACTCAAAAGTGGTTGATGTAATACGGGACAGTCGCAGAGTTTCACGAACTCCGATTGCCAGTAATGAGCGAGAGACTACCTATCAGTCTAGCAGGAATAGAAGAAAAAATACCACGACAGATATGTAGCACCCTTCAAGAAAAGAAGGGATCATCTCCTGCCCCTCTCGCGCATCGCGCTAGATAATAATGCTCGATGATATACTCACAGCGCACCTTCATGGATGTTGTACCGCTGCTGCAGAGGAGGGGAAGGATAATGCGCCTGCGATGAGGGGGAGCTAATCTATCTGCCATTCGAGGAACGGCATATCCCAGACAGTGCCAGGCCAATGCGTGTTTCCAATGCCCCTCGATCAGCGACTGACCAGCGACTCCGGTGTACCGAGTAGTAATAGAAATGTCCGTAATGTTCAGTTCATTGGCTGCTCCGACCACCAGTCTGCATGATGGCGCCGGTGATTATGCAGGCTGCGATTGGAGAGTCCCAGCCCATCCGTATTGGCACCAGATGGTAAAAGTAACCTCTCCGTATGGGCTGCAGACAGCCTGAATAAATTGGCGGATATCATGATCTGGGAGAGCTGGGGGGACAGGTCATTCGTACCTGTTACCGTGGTTGACACATCTCTCTACCCCTCACGAGCTAAATGACTATCATTTCCATTTATTTTACCTTGGACGAGATGATTTTCTGTTCGAATCAGATTCGTAATGAAACCGGATAATAGGGGGGGATGGCCAACTCATGGAAAACAAATAATCAGACGATCATTTTTCAGACAAAAGCCGATCAGAGGAAGAGTCCGAAGGGCAGAATTACCTATTTGGGGGTGTTGGAGGATCATATCGATCGATCTATTCGGTCGGGACCAAGTGGTTCCATTCTACTATTAACAGCCGGCAGACTTGGCCAGACCGCCGGCCCCAGTGAGTGTCCACCCCAGCAGGGAGCGTGTGGATAAGGCAAGGTCGCTTGCTCATCACTCCCCCAACTGGTTCCTGCAAAGCAACGCCTGTACGCTTGTCCGCCTGTCCTTCAAGTACGGCCTGCTTCCCCCATCTTGCTTCCCTCTTTCTTTCTTCCTTCTCCTTCTCTCTCACATTCCATTACTTTATCTCTGGTGCCTAAACTCCCCTTCGAACCCCCTCCGCTGTACATAGCCGGTCACTTCCATCTACAGTACTTGCTTGAATTGTTGACTCCTTCCTATCAAATACTTAGCTCTACATTCTTGAGCTCAACTATTTGCCCAGACCATTATATTTGTTTCCCTCAACCAAACCCGCACATATCAACGAGCTCAACTCTTCCTCATTCTACCTCCCATCACATCTCCAATGGCAGCTCCTCGTTCCAGTTCTTTGCGCGCTCTCCGCGTGCTCTCTCAGCAGCACTCTACCACCCCATACATCCGTCGGGGCTTGCACATCACCGGCGCCCAATCTGCACAACCCGCCAATGTCTCGGACAGGGCTTCCCTGTATGCCAGCCGCACTCTGGCTGATCTGAAGACTGAATGTGTGAAGCGGTCCTTGAGATCTAGTGGCTCCCAGTCTGAGGTATGCTATCTATGACATCTACACTCCTGGTCAACCCACAGTTATGGCTAACCATTATCCGCGTCGCTCAGCTTGTCGAACGCCTCTCCAACCATGATTTCCTTCAATCCCGTGCCTTCAGCATCGCTATGAAGAGGATGAACGGCAGCTCTAGCGCTGAGTATGTAGATTTGATCATCATGACAGCCCGTTACCTCGGGTAAAGCCAGTTCGGAACTAACATTCTTGCTCAACACAGAAAGAACCATGGCCGTCAATTCAACACTTCCCGTTCTAGCAAGGCCGTCGGTGACTCATCCACCGTTGACTTCGCTTACATGCCTTCTATGGCAGAGATCGATGCACCTGCTGCTCGTGCCGATCCGCAAATCCCGATCCTTTCCGACATCTATACCCACTATGACCCGACCCAGTCGCAAGAGGCCCCCATGAGGCCCCAGGTTTACACCGTGTCCGGGGGTGCTGGTGACATCTCCGCAAGTCCTATGACCGAGGTTGTTGACAATCACTCCGTGGACATCGATCCCTTCTCCCTAACCGAGACGGTTGGGAAGTCCAGATTCGGCGAGGAGCTGAAGAAGCAACAGAACGGTACCTCCGAACCAGGTGTCGTCCGGGAACTTTGGAGTGGTTTCTTGGAGGATCTTTTAGGTTCCAAACAGCAGCAAGCTCAGAAACATTGATGCTGCCTTCATGTTTGATTATGTCTTCTGTCTCGTTTCTAGCGATGTGTGATGGTTACACTTCCAAGGGCCCTTATTGCCGTCCTTTTGCCAATGTTTTTCGGGATTGAAACATAGTTATGATCCTCTGTCGAGGGATCCTATCAA